CTGAGCAATCGAGCAGGGACAAGGTGCAGAGAAATGAAAGCTCGCTGCGTTTGCCCTCCCATGGCAAAGGAGCGAGGAACCAGTTCCCCTCCTCGGGAGCTTCTGCTGAATTCTTCGTCTTCTCTCTGACTGTTTGTTCTCAAAATAATACAGGTCAGATGTTGGATTTTTTCTTTTCTTTTCTCTGTCAGTAAAACAAGGATCTTGACAAATGTCTTGGGGGATAATCAGGTATTTGCAGGAACTGTCATGCTGAGCTGCTGCTGGAAGCCAACATCAAAAAATAAATACCATTTTATTAATAAGCTCAGTGCTTCTTGAATCAGCAGGAGAAATGAGCCTAAATCAACACAGCATCCATCCTCTCCAAACTCAGTGAGAGAAAGCATACTCACCCCAGCTAATGGGGTGATGCATGGAGCCCGCTCCAGCACAGATGCCTTGCAGACAGCAGTGTGCCGATCCTCGCGGCTTCCTCTGGAGCAGAGGAGTGCTGCTATTTCTGTATGACTCAACTGGAAATGAAATGTCTGAGTGACTTGCTTAGAGAAGCCGTGTTAGAACAGTGTCAGAGCCAGACTGCCAGGTTTTCCTTCCCAATGGCTTATCAGACCTTTCCTCACAAGTGCAAGAGTCGCGAGGGGAGACTTGTGTACGCTCAATAAACACTCGTTTTGCAGCATTCCTCTCTGTTGATCCTCAGCTCGATTTTTGCATTGCTTTTTAGCGAGAGCCCCCCCCCGCTGTCCGTGGGGTTCACGGAGCGGCAGCGTTCGCCGTGACGGTTCCTTTGGGCTCTGCGACTGCTTCTAGAAATGCTGTGTGTCTGCATTTCCAAAGGCTGTGGGGCAGCGTGTGGGTGAAAGGGGAGATGCTCGCTGATCACACACAGCGGCTGCTTTCCCGCTTAACGGGGTGACTCCGGTGTCTCTCTTCAGATTACGATCCCTCGAGGAAGACGGAGCGGCAGCGTTCGCCGTGACGGTTCCTTTGGGCTCTGCGACTGCTTCTAGAAATGCTGTGTGTCTGCATTTCCAAAGGCTGTGGGGCAGCGTGTGGGTGAAAGGGGAGATGCTCGCTGATCACACACAGCGGCTGCTTTCCCGCTTAACGGGGTGACTCCGGTGTCTCTCTTCAGATTACGATCCCTCGAGGAAGCGATGGGTTTGGCTTCACAATCTGCTGTGACTCCCCAGTCCGAGTGCAGGCAGTGGACTCCGGTAAGAGATCAGATCATTTTTATCCCTCTTAGTTTGAATGAATGACTTTGCTCCTTTTTTGCTTCCCAGAGCATGTTGTGATTCAGAAGCTCCCACGCCTTGCAGAACACTGGTTACCTCCAAGAAACTTCACTTAATGGATTCTCTGTTGCCTCTAATGAGGTCAGAGGCTGCTGGGTTAGCGCTGTGTCACTATTTTGGCAGTGTGTTGCAGTAATTTGCAGAGATTTTTTTCCCTTCCTTCTCCAACCTGAGAACTCTCCGGCTGATTGGGAGACCTACAGAAAGCATTGGGGGGGTGTCAGACAGGGGCACAGAGCAGAGCAGGGTCGTGGGAGCCCTCCGTTGCCTGAGTAGATCCTCTTGGTGTGGACCTGTGGGATGGACTTGGTGTCTCTGTTGTACCCTGGTGCTCCCCACTGTACACCAGGAAACACGGGAAGTTCGTGCAGTAGCTCTGAGAGAGCATTTATGAGTGTCCCAGGCGCTGTGTGTGTGCATGCATGCTGGAAGGTGAAGCTCCAGGCTAGCTGGCACCACTTCATTTTCAGGTGTGGGTTTGGAGGAGTGAGTGGTGCAAGCTGTGAGGCTATTTGGGTGTCTCCTAGCTCCAGGGCTTCTCCTCCCCCTCATACTCTCAGTTTTCTGTCCGGCAGGTGACTGGCATTTATCTCTTCTCTCCGTAGGTGGCCCAGCAGAAAAGGCAGGTCTGCAGCAGCTCGACACGGTGCTGCAGCTGAATGAGCAGCCTGTGGAGCACTGGAAATGTGTAGAGCTGGCACACGAAATCCGGTGAGTGTTCACCCAAAGCATCAGTGCAGGGCTCTGAGAGAGATGGTTTGAGGGAGCCCAGGGCAGGGCAGCAGGAGCTTTGAGTGGCTACGGGAAGGGGAAAGCTTTGAGGGATGCAGGAGACGGACAAGATTCTCTGGAGTAGAAGAAGAAAGGATGCAGGGGCTGGGGAGGGCAGGACGGGGGCGAAGGCATTAGAGGGAAGAAGGACTGCAGGGCTCATGGCTGTCTGAATGATGCGGGGTGCCTCATTCCCTGCTGCTCCGTCTCTGACTTGCCCCATGCCATCCCTTTCAGGAACTGTCCCACTGAGATCATACTACTGGTCTGGAGGCTCGTCCCGCAGGCCAAGTCAGGACACGAAGGCATGATCCGCAGATCATCCTGCAAGTCTGCCTACGACCTCCAGTCACCACCCAACAAGCGGGAAAAGAACAGCACCATGCCTCCGCGGCCCGAGCAGCGCCGGAGCTGCCACGTACTGTACGATGGGAGCGATGGGCTGGTGCTGAACAGCTGGGAGAGGTACACGGAGATCGGCAAGCGGAGCCAGAACACCATGCCACCCCTGTCCCGGGTCCCCTCCACTGCAGACCAGAACTACATCATCTTAGCGCCTTTGAACCCGGGGAGCCAGGTAGGGCTGCTTCCCAGCCCCCCGCTCAAGTTACTGCACGTGGCTGTTGGCTGTGCTTGCTGGGTCCTCTCTTGGCCTGTGCTTCAGCCTTATCGAGCGTCATCTCTAAATGTTTGCTAGACCACATGCCATTTTTACAAGCCAGACTGTTTTTCTGAAACATTTACCACTAGGACTGTAGAGCCGGGGTGAATGACCTGCTGCCTCCTCCCGGGGCTCACTCAAGGGGTAAGGGTATGGGAAATGTTTCCACTGCGTAGACCACTGTGCGAGTTATCGCTCTCATTTTCTGCTGGCAATAGGGCAAAAATGATTTTCACCTCTCTGGAGTGCTTTGGCTTTGCTGGGTTTGTTGTAAAATTGGTTGTTGTAAAGTCTATCTCAAGCCTACTTCAGGTGACTGTGTCCTTTCTGGGTTGTGTCTTACAGCTGCTGAGGCCTGTCTATCAAGAGAACAACGCTACTGTGGGTAAGTTGCCAATGTGCTGAAAATGCTGCTCAGAGCACCCAGCAGAGCTAAACATGGTCTTTCTAGCACTAGCAAATCCTTGCCCTTACCCTGCAACGCTGCAATGGAGTCCCTCGCGTTTTGAGGACAGTGGCAGAAGCCTGGGGCTTTTAGGTAGTACAATCTTCCTACTCTCTGCATCAAACACAAAAGCAAGAACCCAAGCCCGGAGGAGAGCACAACTGCTAATGTCACTGGATGAGCCTCATGGTGAGAAGTCTCTGTGGGAGCTCACAGAGTGGCTGAAGAAGGGAGGCTGGTGGCAGGGACTTTCCATCAGGGGCATGATGAAAGCATAAAGTGTGAAAGTGCTGAACACTGTTGTTGTGGTGGTTCCCCAGATGTGTCTTGGGCCTCTCCGTGACGTGTTTATCTTCTCGTGTATGATGCCTTGCTGGGGGTGCTAATACTGTGGCCCCTGCTTTGAGTTTCATTGTATTCCTAAGGGAGTGAGGATGTCCATGACTCAGATTTGTACAGATATTAGTGCAGGTCGAAGTGCCAGGTTTGGGGAATACTCATTTCCTGGGCTGCTACAAGGTTCTGGCAGTCTCTGGACCAGCTCTCCTCAAAACCCCTTTGAAGCATAAACTCGTTTTCCGCAACAGGTATGCTTGGTCTTCCTGGAGAACCGGGTGTGGATGGGCTTGCAGGAAGAGTGGGGTGAGGTGTGCGGCAGGGCTGTGAGAGGGGGAGCAGGGACTAACACAAGGTCTCCCCGAACTACATATCAACTGGTGACCGTCATTTCAAGTGGGAAACTGGGGACAGAAACAACCCAAGAAGAGTGAGGCCCGGAGATACTCCCTAGGGTGTTCACTGGGTGCCGTTGAACTTGCAATTGCAATTTTCAGCATGTCCGGCTCCATGCAGAACCACCTCTTGCCAGTTCATTGATTCAGGAGCTTTGGGAGGCCACTCTTGCACCCTGGTCTGTTGGGATGCCCTTAGGATGAGCCGTGTGTCTGCAGCAGAGCTGACCTCCTAGCGTGATCTTGCAGCAGTGTCTTTAACTCAGCAGTCCCTCCCTGGTGCGGGCACAGCTATCAGCACAATTTCCAGCTAGAAAATTTTGTGCTGCCTGTAAAGACGGGGCAGTGTCCATAGAAGGCAAAGTGTGGGGCTGGCAAAGCCATGGTGGGGATGCCGGGGAGCAGGAGGGAGCAGCGTGGGTCTGAGGCCCCTGTGCCTCGGGTGCTCCCACCCCTGGAGCTCTGCGGCCAGAAGAATTTTCCGCAGCTCAACTGCAGGGGATGTTTTGTACTGTGGATAATTGCAACTCTTTCCTGCTGTTTGCAGATCCTGTGAAAAGATGAACTGGACCATGGGGACTTGTTCTTACAGCAGGGTGGAATTTGAAAGGCTCGGGCTTCTTCCCCTAACAATTCTTAGTGACTATTTTCAGTTTATTTAATGTTAAGTCTTCAGAGGGAAGAATGCGCTAGTTAACCTGAACGGTGATTAAACGTGGCAGTGTGGAGCTGGCCACCAGTCACACAGTGACAGGAGCTGACAGCAGGCTGGATGCGTTTCTGTGCCAGCGTGCAGAAAACAGGACTTGTGCAGGTGATGAATTCCTCTGATAAAATGAGGTGATTTAAGGATAAGAGGAAAAGCAGATCCTGAACAGCCCAGACAGATTGTATCTGTCCTGTGTTGAGCTGTCTCTCATGTTTTGATTTTATCTGGCAGTGCAACCATGAAAAAGGGAAAAGAGAAAATGTCAGGATTATTGCACTTAGAGGTGGAAACAACCTTTTAGGTCACGAGGGCCACCCCCCACAGAGGCAGGCTGTTAAAGCAAGCGGTAAACAGCAGGTCTGGATTGCCAACAGAGCACGGTCTCGCTCTGCTGGCGTTTATCTGAAAGTAAATGTGCTATTTCCTAATACTTAATGGAATATGTAATGTTGGGTAGGTTCGTATATTTGCTTTGGACGAGACCTTATCTGCTCTGAGCCGTGTTCAGAAGTGTTTTGGCTCACTTCTGCTTGGGAAGGTTATGGGTATCCGTTACAGTGCAAAGGCAGAAGCCACTGTGCAGAAAGCTGCTGTGGTGAGAGCAGAAACGCCCGGGGCTGGGTGGCTGGAGGGAGGGATGCTGGGGGGTCTCGCTGGGACACCCCTCTAGCAGCGGGCTCAGGGGGGTTTGCTCATACGTGTCCCTGAGATACCTCTGTGGGGGAGGATCCTGGGCTAGTGCTCCAGTTTCTCACCTGGGGATGCTAAAATCCAGGTGGAGAGTTCTGCCTGCTGGTTTGGTTCATCAGCTTCAGCGGGGAAGGAGAAAATACTTCAGTTTTTCAGTGGGGCTTCTTTTGAAGAAGGCATGAATTTTTGGTTAGAGACGTACTCAGTTCCCGTTGGAGTTGTTGCCTGCAAGTTTTGGGACAGGGCGCAGGTCGCTGGTGCCCAGCGGGACGTGGTCTGGGGTTAAGGGCTCTTGCAGGACATGAACCTGTCCCACCTTCTGTCCCCAGCAGTAGGTCCTGCCGCTACTGTGATGGGAGTTTGCGTATGGCAGGAGGGATGTGCACTGTGGGCCTGGGGACACCAGGGACAGCCAAAACTGTACGCTGGGGTCACCAGGGAATGCTGAGACCCTTGGGCCTAATGGATTAGTCATTAATGGGAAATATTTCACAACTGCTCCCTGCTCGGCAGCCGTGCTGTCCCAGCACACCTGAGCACAGAGCAGCCCAGCGGGCAGCAGCTCGGCAGCTCCTTTCTGGTTCTGGTCCTGTGTGTTGGTCTCATCCCAGCTGCATGTGATGGGTCTGGGCGGGAGGATGCATAAAGCCGTCCTTAGCACTGCTGCCTCCAACAGATCACCCACCAAACCGCTGAGCTGCTCACAGCCAGTTGTGCACACAGGCACCGGCTGCCAGCAGTCTGTGATGCTCTCACCTTATTGCGCTGCTGCTGAGAAAATGGTAGTTTCTCTCCAGGCAGAGCATCCTCACAGCACCCCACGTCCCATGCTTGCGCTCACGAGACAAAATGCTGGTGGGAGCTGGCTGGAGAGAGTTGTGGTGAACGGAGTTAAATC